TATATATATATATATATATATATATATATATATATATATATATATATATATATATATATATATATATATATATATATATATATATATATATATATATATATATATATATTTAGGTAGGCATATTGTGAAAGTTATCAAATAATCCTTTATTTGGCTTCTACTTTCATAAAGTAGCCCCACATTTTAGTAAATGGAATAAAAAAATCTTGTGGGAAATCAATGGCAGAATCGAAGTAAAATGAACGTGGTGGCATTCCATGCCCCCTGGGTATGTAGTGACTCCCACAAGATATCCTTTACTCCCACGATTGGCTAGTTTAGAATTTTCTTTCCCCATCGTTGTGGTATTTTAAAGAAAAACATTTTTCAACTTTTTTAAAAAAAAATGTTGGAACAAGAAATAAAATGACCCCAATTATTTAAATTCATTGTAAAAAACAACTATTCAACTGGTAAAATATTATTGGTGTCCTACGCCTTGTTAAAATTTAAAGAGGTGGCTGAGGACAAAATGGATTTTATATCAAATTCTGGATAAGATGTATACGGGTATAAGAAAGATAATAAGATGAAGGGGAAACTGACCTATGAAATAGCCGGTGGGGGGGGGGGGGGGGAGGTAAAAAATAATGCTGAACGTCTGCAAATTTAATTCGCTTTATTAATGCCAATTGCTACTTTATTTCCTTTTTACAAACAACTAAAATAATTGACGCAGATTTGAACAAATTTATCCGGAAAGTAGGTTTTATAAGTTTATATAATTTAATATCTACAATAAAATGTGGCAGTTCTTGCCCAGGGTTAGAATTAAATTTTAATTTTTTAATTTTTTTTTTGGGGGGGGGGGGGGGGTAATGATCGGGGAGGATGGGGGCAGTATGTAAAAATTTGTTAATGTAATTCTATTTGGCTATGATTCATTCATTTAACTGAGTCCAGTCGTTGAAATAATAACTGTCAGATTTTAAAGTAGGACGATGTCTCATCGGTCAGTGAACCCCTCTGGGGCTCTTGGGCTCTATAACACGTCTCCATAACATGGCGATAAATGTTACTTGAATGTAAGTTACCGGTGAGGGTCGTGGGAAGTTACTGTCAATGTAGGTCATTGAACCGATTTTAGTCTTTATCGAAATACTGATACATGTGCAACGCTTACACACCAATAAGTAATTTAAAATTTTATCTATTTCTTGTTGTTTTTATTTTTATAATTGCATTGCTATGTATAATTTTATTGGCTTGATTTGGCCTGGAATTTTATATTTTTAATCTTGGAGGTTTTTTTGGACATACTATAATCACATATTTGCCTGTATGTATCCATTCGTTGATCTGATTTATCCCTTTTTACACGGAACGTCCATTTACTCCATCAGGCAGAAAACAGAAGTTTTTAAATGTGTATTTTTTTTAATGTTATTTTAATTGAACGAAATCCGATGGTAAATCGAGTGTGTATTTAGCTGAGTTTTTACTTTAATGCGCTAGTGTTTCCCCTTTTATCTTAACATTTACAGTAAGCTAATGATTTACTTTGATGTGAACTGACTAAATGGGGGCTGTGGAAAATGGACTCTGCGTCAATAAAGTGTGGGGAAGGGGAGGGGAGTCTAATGTGAAGGGGGTAAGGTTACTAATGGGGGATGATGTGAAGTAGGGGTTCTGTCAAAAGTGAATGTGTTATTCTTAAAGTTTCTGGTGTTTTATTTAATACACGTTTGGTTTAAATTGAGAGAATTGCCTTATATGGTATACATCTCAAATGCCCTGGTATATGGGATAATATATCCTTGATGTGTAATTTCCTTAAATGCTTTGTTACGCTTGCAATGTAGTATACTTTTAAACATTAGCAGCACTAGTATGTTATTTTATTTTGGAACGCGGAGCTAAAAAATTTTAGTCATTTATATATTACGAACAATTTTGGAGAGAGTAGGCTGCGCAGCCCCCCCCCCCCCCCCATGCACACCCTAGATCCGACTTTGCTTTCAATACTTTCTATTGAAGACTGGGCTACTTTCAATAGTATATTTGCGATAACGAGTACTTACGATATTGTATACTCACGAAATTGTTTACTTGCAATAGTGCGTTGTGGACTTTAATTCTTCGTAGCTCATCAAAATCATCAACAAACTAAAACACACATACTTTTTATTTACTTAGGGTAATATTATACATTGCAAACGGACCGAAATGTTCGTATTGATAAAGAATAAAATAAATGTTTAGTGTAAGAGGGGTGAAGCGAAGGGGTTTAACTCCGGGGAGATTCCATCTATTTTGATGCACGAGAACCAACATTGACACAGAGGGGTGAAAAATAAATAATGAGAAACTATCAAACAAACACGTTATTTTGCCATTAGAGGCTGGGGATTCCCAGGGGTCGCTGGTCAGCTTGACCCCTGATACGTGTGACGTATGTATTAAGTGAACTAATGACTAGGCTTTAAGGACGCCCCCCTCCCTCCAGAGTTTTGGGATATTTCCTCATGCTGATGGGGAGGTACGTTTCTCCATGCAAATTGTACGACCGTTCGCTGATGACATGTGCAATCCGCGCATAGACAGGGCATTTAACCTGTTGCAGCATCGATGCATGCTCAAATGGTGAGCTCTGTAATGCGCGAGCTAAGTTAGGTTGGGTCACCATGACACAGCCTTAGGCGTTGATGCTAGGGGAGCGTTAGGGAGGGGGTGGGGGTGGTTAAAACCATGACTAGACAATGAGATGTTTGTTTCTGTCTATTCTAATTAATTGATTAGATGTTAATCAAGTGTGAGTAGCCTCTACGGTCCCGGGTGTCTGTGTGTGTGTGTGGGGGGGTGGGTAGGGAGGGGGGGAGTAGGAATGTAAAGATATTTTTAATTCATTGGGCAACGTTTCGTCATTTATATGTAAACAATACAACTGGGTCCCATTATTCAATGACTGGGTCCCATTATTCAATGACTGGGTCCCATTCTTCAATGACTGGGTCCCATTCTTCAATGACTGGGTCCCATTCTTCAATGACTGGGTCCATTCTTCAATGACTGGGTCCCATTCTTCAATGACTGGGTCCCATTATTCAATGACTGGGTCCCATTATTCAATGACTGGGTCCCATTAATCAATGACTGGGTCCCATTAATCAATGACTGGGTCCCATTATTCAATAACTGGGTCCCATTCTTCAAAGTGGGTCCCATTTTTTAAAGACTGGGTCTGATTCTTCTATAACTGTGTCCCATTCTTCTATGATTGGACTTGGTACCTGAGTTCACTCAGCTATAACTGTGTCCTGACTCATATACTGAGAGGACAAATGACCTAGTACATAGCTACCTCATAAATGATGTCACAATAGCAGAACAACTCTGCTTCATCTACTCCTTAGAGAATCAGATACGAAGATATTTTACTTGGCTAAGCTACACCCAATCGTGTGCCTAGCCGTTAACTAAGGAGTCCAATAGCATTGCAGCATTTGAATTTGAATTTATGAAATTGGTTTTTATTTCTGGATTCTTTTTAAAAATTTGAAGAAAAAATTAAGGTAATGTTTTTGATTTATTTATAAACCACTGTTTTTAGCAAAAAATAAATGAATTAATAAATTACTAGAATACCCGTCATCCGTTGGATAACTGTGGGGTTTCGGGGGTCATCCATCAAAAAACATCACGTCTGTCACTCAGAGGCATAGCGACCCTTCCCGGCGCCCGGGGACAAAGTTTTCGATTTGAACCCCCCCCCCTCAAACCCTTGATGTGCACCCCCCCCCCCCCACTCAAACTTTCGATTTGAACCCCCCCTCAACCTATCAATTTATTTTTCCAAACCATTTTGGCGCCCCAACATATGTCCCCCCCCCTTCCCCCCCTCCACCTCCCCACCCCCCCCTTCCCCCCCCGCCTCCCCTCCCCACCCCCCGCCTCCCCTCCCCACCCCCCGCCTCCCCTCCCCTACCGTCCCCCCCCCTCCTCGGTACGCTACTGCAGTGTCACTTATCGTCACAAAAAACAGACCCCACATTCAAATATATGTTTTTATCTTTTAAAAACACCGAAAACACCGATTTCGGACTATCCCTTCATATACTGACGTCACATGTGACCTACTCAACTCTACTTCACCTGCCCAGTGTCCCGCCAAGTCTCAGACAACATGTTTTTATCGTTTAAAAAACGATTCCAGCCGAGCATGTCTCTGACCACACTATCCTTTCATATGCTTAGGACAAAGAAACAGATGAACTCTACTTCACCTGCCCTGTATCCTGCCAAGTTCAGATAGGCAACTTTATCATTCACATCTAAAAAAAAAAATTGAAAAAAAAATATCATTGACATATTGGTCTAGAACCTGTGCCACCCACATGAGAGCGGGCTACGCTACCAACTTAGCTATTTTCTCGTGACGTCACAAATGAATTTTTATACTATACTTTTGAGTCTCCGCGCATAGATCTAGAGATCTTTAAATCTAGAGAAATTTATTGTAAAACTAAATGAAAAAAGACAGTTTAAAATTGATATAAGTGTTGGAACGTAATAAATACAGCAAACGGACGTATTGTTAAAGTTATGACCGACAGAAAATTAGATTTAGAACGCGTTTAAACTTTTGAATGGGAACACAATTTTCTTCAATAGACGCCGCCATTTTATTGTACTAAAGAGTAAACAAAAACCTGTGACGTCACTATTCCCACAAAGTTTAGTCAAGGTTTTAACATTTTAAAAAAAAATGGGTTATTCTGCGTAGGAATAAATCAATAAATTAATTTAACGTCTTTAAATAAATTTGTGATTAACAGTCCTGTCTGCATTAAAAAATTATTCTCTACCTACATACTATTTTACAGCTTTCCAGATAGAGTCGAACATATCACAATAGTCGATCAGGCAAACAAACAAATAAATATTCAAACATGTAAACAAACTTGACTTTTAGTAGTATATAGATAGATAATAAATACTATGTTAATTTATTTGTTTTCCAGGTACACAAGAATATTGGATTACTTCCCCGTGTACACCATCCAGCCTATAGTCATGTTCTCACACTGGTTATGCTACTTCAACTCGGCCGTCAACCCTACAATCTACAACTTCATGAGTTGTAAGTCATATGACTGCAAGGGGGGAGGGGGGCGGGGGGGGGGGGGCGTCAAGCCTACAATCTACAATTTCATGAGTTGTAAGTCATATGACTGCAAGGAGGGGGGGGGGGGGTGCGTCAACACTACAATCTACAACTTCATGAGTTGTAAGACTACAACTTCATGAGTTGTAAGTCATATGACTGCAAGGGGGTGGGGGGGGGGGGGGGGAGGGCGTCAACCGTACAATCTTCATAAGTTGTAAGTCATATGTAGGTAGATGTGTGTATGTAGGTGTTTGTGTACGTGTTTGAATATGTGGGTATAAGTATGCTTCTGTATGTGTGTATATGTAAGTGTGCTTCTGTGAACGTGTGTATATGTAAGTGAGTCTGTGTACGTGTGCACATGTGGATATACGTATGCTTGTGTATGTGTAAGTGTGTATATGTAAGTGCACGTCTACGTACGTGTGAGTGTGAATATATGGGTGTGTATGTAAGAATTTATATGCTTGTGTATGTGTATATGTAAGTATGTGTATGTGTACGTATGTTTGCATACGTAAGTTAGTGTGTTGGCTTAAGCATGTGTAGGCTAGCTTGTATCTGTGTGTACGTTAAGTACTTATGTAAATGCATCTGTGTATATGTCTGTATATTATGTCAGTGCAGTAATGTGCAATAAGGTGGCAATAAAGTACCGTAATGCACGCAAGATTTCTCATCCTTGTAATGGGTAAGGGCAGTGGCGAGGTCGGGTGTCACCAGGTGCGGCACTTAATGGTGTCACCCCCCAGAGGCGTAGCGACCCTTCAA